AACAGTCAGGCAGCCGCATGGATCGTCCCTCAGCCACGTCAAAACGTCTGGGTGACCCTGGCACAGACACTACAGCAGGAAAACATTTGCTTGTCCACTGCAGCAGCAAAAGACCCTATGTCCACCTGTCTGGTAGGAATTCCATGGCAGGCTGGAGAATTTCCAGCAGGCCTGGACACATACAGGTCCAATGAAATCCCAGAGTCATACACCCCACAACCACACAAAGCTCAGAAGCAAGTTGGGGGGATCCTAAAATCCTTAGAGGAGTGGTTACGGGGTTTGCCCAAGATAGCTCAGGAACCCCAAGAGTTAGAGCTATTGGGTTCCTCCCCTGCAGCTTACTGTGTACACTTTGCTGTGCTCCCAAAACCTTCTAACACTGACAAATACCACGTTATAAAACAACACCGTGGGGAGTTCACTGCAAGGAGGTGGTGTCAGAACACGAGCAATATTGGGGCAGACAACCCATCTCACTCCAACCCCAAAGGTCTCCCTAAGGGATTGTTTTTGATTTGTGGGGATAGGGCATGGGCAGGAATTCTGTCTCGGCTTTTAGGAGGGCCATGTACGATCGGGAAGCTGTTCATATTGACACCCAACCAAACTCTAATTGGTGAATGGACTCACAAAAATAAATCAGCAAACAAAATTCAAAAGAGGAGCGCAGACCCTTTGGACCCAAATTGTAACTCAGAAATTTTTCATTGGGACAAGTCAAAAAGGGTTGCTGTGTCCCTGTTTCTTCCGTGGGTCGCAGCAGCCAAAGCTCTAGGTGAATTGGGCCACCTAGAGTGCTGGGTAGTCAAACAGGCAAACTTAACATCTGCTGCCATCAGCTCCCTCCTAGAAGACGAGGAAATTACCAGACAGGCCACGCTGCAGAATCGTGCTGCAATAGATTTCCTTTTGTTACTGCATGGACATGAGTGCAAGGAATTTGAAGGACTTTGTTGCATGGACCTGACTTCAAAAGCTCCAAACGTCCATGCTGCCCTTCAAAGCATGAACAGCCTGATTGGACAAGTGAAGCAAGAGTCTGAAGATTGGTTTACAGAACTGTTCAAGGGATGGGGATTCACGGGGTGGTGGACATCTGTCGTTAGATCAATTTTGTTAGTCTTTGTTATTCTGTTCCTTGTAACCCTAGCGTTCGGGATCCTGCGTCACTTGATTTTCAAAGCTATCAAGGGCCTCATACCTTCTACCTCAGAGGTCAACCACATAGAGTTGGCTAACCTGAGGAGGCCTGACTACGCCACCAACATGGGGTGGTGGGAAACCAATACTCAGAGTTGAATTGAGCTCAGTGAATTCCTGTAACCTTGTTTAACAAATAAGGGGGAGGTGTTACGGTGAGCTCCTGGACACCCTTTTGTCCCCCCTTTCCTAGGGCCTCTGTGGCTCTGATCATGATAACCCCTGAATCCTCCCTCCTGCCCCAACGGGGTTGGCGGGGAGCCAGGAGAGCCCACCCTGTCCAAAACCTATATAGACCCCTGAAACTTCCTGCTCTTTCTCTTTTGCCCCGCTCTCCATGGACACCACAGAATAAACAGAGCTGTTCCAACACCCTGGGGTAAGAGCCTCTTTTGAATACTTTTCCCTCTCCTGGTATTTCCTCCCCTCACAGCCCCATATCTCTGAGCTGGTCGGATCCTAGAGGGGGCTGCGTGGAGTCGGGGGAAACTACAGAAATTACACCCCTCAAACACTGGTGTTCTGTGCTTTCCTTCCTTTGGAAAAAAAAACATCATTCAACTCCGGGTGTCCATGTCTGAAAGTGGGATTGCACCTCTAAAATTCCCTATATCCAACGGTTGCTTCCAGACAAAATCTGCCAGTACCATCAAGTCTGGCTGGCCTTGGCCTCTGGTGGCTGCCCCTGCCACACTGGGGCTCGGTTCTTTCCTTCCCATGGAGATCACTGTGACACTGTGGGCACCTCATGGAACCAAGGGGATCATTGTGGCACCACTGGAGCCCATGGAACCAAGGGGCCATGGTGACACCGCGGGGCTTCATGGACCCAGAGACCATTATGACTCTGTGGGGCCTGATGGAACCATGGAGACCATTCTGACCCTTCAGGGCCTGGTGTCACCAAGGGGGCATTGTGACACCTCAGGGCCTCCTGGAAGCAAGGGACCATTGGGACACTGTGGGGCCCCATGGAAGCGAGGGAACATGGAACAGGTCTGGCTGGCTTGGCCTGCCAGGGACCACCTGACAGGTCTGGCTGATCTTGGGATGTCTTGGGCTGCCTCTCATCAGCTCCTGGAGCACTGGGGCTCCATGCTCTCCTTTGTATGGAAAAGAACCATCTGTCTTTTCTGATGCCCCTTGCCAAAACTGACACTCTGCCTAAAAAATTTCCTATATTCAAGGGTATCTCTAAGAACAGAATCTGGCAGCTCTGGCTGGCCTTGTCCTCTGGTGGTGACCTCTCATTTGCCCCTAAAACAGTGGGGCTCTGTTCCTTCATTCCTATGGAAAAGAACTGGTCTTCATGTCCAGGAACCATGGCCAAAATTAGAATTGGCCACTGAGCCCGGCCGGGCTCACGGAACCATCTGCAGCCCCGGGCAGATATTGACTCTGCCAGTGCTGCCATCCTCCCTCCAGTGAGAGAAAATGACAAAGGGCAGGCACACAGAAGACACCGAGGTCAGTGAAGAGGAAGTTGAGTCCCAGATGGGAGGGATGAGGAGATGCCTTGATCTTGGGGCTGAAATCCTCTGGTAAAGCTATGGAGAAGGATGTCATTGATACATCAGACTCTCTTTTTCCCTATAAGGCATTGAAAAGTATGGGGAGATGACTTGTTTCAGCAAAGGCCTCCATGTAAAAGTAAGCAAATGTTGAAGTAGCTGAGATCCCATGAGAAGTTTGAACAGAGAAAGAGAGCAGAGTGATGAGACCCTGTGCCCTCAGGGAGAGAAGAAGACCTCTGTTCCCAGAGATGATTTCAGAAGCAGTTGAAGAGAACCTCTGGTCTTGAACAGCTCATCTTTAAACTAATACCCCATAAGCTGACATGGCCCATAAACACAGCTGTGGGAAAAGCTGTGAAAAAATGGCAGGGATTTCACTATTACACTTTTTCCGAGTGGCTGCTATTCATGGAACTTGAGAGCCACAAGAGAACTGTTTCCTTATGGAGAAGTCTCCATAGCAAGAAAAAGAGACTCCTCACCCTAAGTGAAGTGAAGAAGGACTATTCTAGAGGTGGTAAACTGACTGAAATTTTAGGGTTTGTCTCCTTACATTGTCAATAAGGAAGAAAAAGTTGTGGCGAGAAGAAGAGTGTTCTGAAAGTTTTGTGCTGATTCTTATTACTCTTTCTTTTAGTTACTGCTAATAAACTTTTCTTTATGCTCTTTTAAAGTTTTGATCCCACTTTCCCTTTCTCCTTATCCTACCTCACAGCAGGAAATGAGTAAGTATATTCTAGTGAGTGCACTGGTAATTAGACAGCACTGAACCCACCACACTAATTGATGCATTGCCCAAGAAATCTCAAAATGGTGAACCAAAACCACTACAGAAACTTCCTGATGAACTGCACGAGAGCAGAGGGAAATCAAGGCAGAGCCATGGTTTGTCAGGACTTGTTGATCCTAATGAGCCCCGTGGTGCATTTGGAGCTGAGCCCTGGAACCTCAGGGCCTGAGAGGAGATTGCACAAACCTTTCCAGGAGTTAAAATCAAGAGCAAACACCCAAAATGTCTCAATGCATTAATAGATCCCACTGAGGTCCATCCCCAACAAAGGCTCCTTATGGATTCTTTGGAGGAGAGAACTGGAGACCAGGATGGCACAAAAACCTCTCAGAGACTCAAAATGGCACAAAAAACTCTCAGTGTGGAAAGGAAAATCCAAAGTACCTGAAAAAAGTTTAGTATCTCAGAGTATTAATGAGCCCCAGTGAGTGTCAGTACAAAGCTCTCAAGGGACTCATTAAAGCAGATAATTGGGGCCATGATTGCACAAACCTCTCACAGAGTCTGTATCAAAAGGGAAACACCAAGTACCTTAAAAGAAATGAAGTTCTGGGAGCATGAAGGAACCCCCAGGGCCATTCCTGACCAAGGCTCCCCAGGGACTCCTTCCAGCAGATCCTTGAGGCCACTGGGATGTGGGCTAGGGGGGGATGCTGAGGGCAGGACCAGGGGGTGACAGTGCCCAGCCTGGCTGGGGCTGTGCCAGGAGGCCCCAGGGCCTCAGGACAAGGTGTCTCCTCCCAGCCCTTGGTGGCACAGACCCTGCTGTGCCCCAGGGCACCAAGACTTGGCTTCTCTTTGTCCCCACCTGTCATCAGTGCCTCCAGTTCTCTGCTCTGCCTGGGGCCTGGGGACACTTTCTCAGTCGTGTCCCTCAGTGGGACCCATTAAAAGTCCCAGAAACTTTGGAGTTGGATTCTGACTTGGAGTTCTGGAGAGGTTTCTGCAGCTCCCTCCCAGGGCCTGATGTTCAGGGCCTGAGCACAAAGCCCCAGAGGGTCATTAAAGTCCTTGTGCTGTGTCTGTGCTGCTGAGCTGGGCCGGGCTCCTGGCACAGAGGGTGATCCTGGTAACCAAGCAGAGCTTCAAAAGCACATTTCTCTTGCTGAGCAGCTCTTCTCCCAGCCCAGCAGGGCTGGGGCACTGCCTGCAGCCAGCCTGGGCACAGCACAGAGGCACAGAGAGCTTCAATCAGTCAGGGCTGGGAAGGGGCTGAGAAGTGCCTGGGGCAGAATCACTGCCAGCCCTTGGCACAGGAACCTCTGGCTGCAGGACAATGCAGCTGCAGCTCCTGGAGCGATCTCCTAAAGCTGGAACATCCCAATGCCCACAGACCCTGTGAGTGCATTCTCTGCTCATCTCCTGTGCAGAGCAGCCAGGGGTGCCCAGGGCTGTCCTGCAGAGCAGGGTCCTGCAGCCCAGGGCGCTGTGCTGGGCCAGGGACTCTGCTGCCTGCCAGGGACAGCTCTCAGCCGGCCCTGGAGCTGCTCCCAGCGCTGGCCAGGAGCTGTGGGGGGAAGGAGCCACCCTGAGCAGGGCAGGTGCTGCTGCTGAGAGGGGCTGGGTGGGGCAGGGCTGCTCCCAGCTCCAGACCAGCCTGGGCACAGCTCCGGAGGGCACTTCCCAAAGAAGGTAAGCCTGGGATTGCTGTAAAAGTCAGGAGCTTTCCTGAGATTGTTTTCAATTTCCTGCTTGGAGCAGGATGGGAAAGTTGGGGTGATGACATGAAGAATTTTGCTTTTTATACATTTTTCATATATCCGTAGGTTCATAAATTACTATTATGTAATTATAAATTTATAATCCTTACCTAACTCTATTAAACTCTTAATGAACTCTACTTAACTACTATTATATACTTAATGTAATTATAATCCTTAATTAACTCTAATATGTTTCCTTACTTTTCTCTTAGATTTTAGAACAATAACCTGTCTAAACACATTTTTTAAATGCTATATAGTCTTATTATCAGGGAAAGAACCCACAAGAAGACCATTTTGGTTTTTAAATGTGAGCAGTGATAAGAAAACCTGGGGCAAAGAAGCCCTTGGACCTACTCCAATGGTTTGAGCCAGGGGTGTGTAACTGGGGCAACTGAATCTCCTATTGGGTGTCCCTGTTAAATATACTAATTAATTAACCTTAATGAATTGCTGAAATCATGGGCTGGGTGTTCCCCATCCCCACTGGGACACCTGGAAGCTTCCAATAAAGGTCTGGTTTTTACTTTACTGTTCTAACACTGTTGCAAGGGTTTTTTTTCTCTTTTGATTATAGACAACAGGGGGATGAGAGAAGCAGAACAGGAATTGTAATCCCAGAATGACAGAACATTCTGAGTTGAAAGGGACACACAGGATCATCAAAGGAATGTTTGAACATTTACAGAGACTCCAGAACTGTGACTTTGGGTGGTCAGTCTCTCTGCTGGGAGCCTCCCAAAGGGCCTTCAGCCACTCCTCAGCCCTGGACAGCAGCAGCATCACCTCTGCAGGGCCCAGCAGGGCTCTCCTGAGCTGCCCTTGCCCAGCTGCACACAGAGCCTGCCCCAGCCAGGGCCCTGCACACAGGCAGGTTTCTGTAGGGCCGGGCCGAGGGCACACAGGGTGGGATGGGCTCTGTGAGCGCTGGCAGGGACAAGGCACCTCTCAGGAGGGGATGTCCAGGCCCAGGGAGATGCTCAGGGAAGGAGAGGGGGCTGAACAGAGCAGTGCTGGGGGAACAAGCCCATCCAGCCCCTCACCTGCCCTCAGCCACAGGGAATCCTTTGCCTCTCACATCTCTCAGTGGCAAACTCTGAGTGCAGCAGGAATGCTGGGGATTTCTGACCTCAGAGAGCCAGGAATGGTGTGTGGGTAGGAAAACAATTCCTAAAATCAACTCCTGCCATCTATTTCCCTTAGAAGTGTGAGTGCAGATGGTACCAAGGCTTCCTGCAATAGGACTTATTCCCCTGACAAATCCTGAATATCCAGCCTTGTCCCTCTGCCACATGGCCACAAGCCCCGGGCAGTGGGGCAGGGATGGCTCCTCGAGAGCCCCCAAGCACAGGCCTGGCTGCTCCTGGCACACTCAGCCAGCACAACTGGAGCTCAGGCAGGGACCTGGGTGAAGGTTTTCCCAGAGCAGGAACAAGGGTGGGTGAGTCCCAGCAGGACAGTCTGCAGGGAATGGCCCAGGTTTGGCTCCAAGCAGCCTCTCCTGACTTGTCACTGTCCTTTCTCCATGACCAGGTGCCCATGTGCAGCCACAGCAAATGTCCAACAGCAGCTCCATCAGCCACTTCCTCCTGCTGGCACTGGCAGACACGCGGCAGCTGCAGCTCCTGCACTTCTGCCTCTTCCTGGGCATCTCCCTGGCTGCCCTCCTGGGCAACGGCCTCACCATCAGCGCCGTAGCCTGCGGCCACCACCTGCACACGCCCATGTTCTTCTTCCTGCTCAACCTGGCCCTCAGCGACCTGGGCTCCATCTGCACCACTGTCCCCAAAGCCATGCACAATTCCTTCTGGGACACCAGCACCATCTCCTACACAGGATGTGCTGCCCAAAGCTTTTTTTTTGTTTTCTCTGCTACAACAGAGTATTCCCTCCTGACTGTCATGTGCTACGACCGCTACGTGTCCATCTGCAAACCCCTGCACTACAGGACCCTCCTGGGCAGCAGAGCTTGTGCCCACATGGCAGCAGCTGCCTGGGCCAGTGGATTTTTGTATTCACTACTGCTCACAGCCAATACGTTTTCTCTGCCCCTGTGCCATGGCAATGCCGTGGGCCAGTTCTTCTGTGATATCCCACAGATCCTCAAACTCTCCTGCTCCAAATCCTACCTCAGGGAACATTGGTTTCTTGTGTTTACTGTCAGTTTATCGTTGTGTTGTTTTGTGTTCTGTAGTAGATAAGGGACAGGCGAAGCGGAAGACCACGGGATGTGACGGAAAGATAGACCCCTCCCCCTCTCTCTTCCCCACGTTATCTATTAACCCCAGAAGCCCCAGGAGCATGTAGCCACACCTGCCCTGGTAAATTTCCACTCCTTACTAATCCCTGAGACCCCCCAACCCCCTCTGACGTAGCAAAGACCCCTAAAACTATTTAAACCCATGAGATAGGAGAATAAAGGCTTTTCAACCGTCTGCCATATTGGTATCTGCGTCTGTTGATTAGCCCGAGTGGCTTGGGCGAGACCAGGCCGCTGTGCTGCCTTACCTGAACCAGGTCCCTGGTTGTCCTTTATAAAGGCAACATACTGGTGCTGAAACCTGGGACAAAAGAAGAAAAAAAAAAAAAAGGAAAAATTCCCCCGGCAGACGGGATACACCTGGACGGGAGCAGCGGCCGGAACGGTCAAACCGTATCTAGGCGTAGGGGAGACGTCCCTGGGATCCACGAGCGTCATGGACGCAATGGCAAGGATCGTAAGTGCTATTCATTCACAGTGGGGTATTGGGTGTAAGCTCAAGGATTTTTATCTTGCCATAGCGAGATTGCTTGAGCTAGGGGCAATTGAGCGCCCTGTGGATGTGTTACATCCGGAAATATGGGAAAAATGCACTGCCGCACTAGCTGAGGACACAAAATCCGCAGGCAGTGGCAAAAACCTTAAAGCATGGGGCAAAGTAGAGAAAGCCCTACGCAAAGCGATAGAAGAGCAGGAGACATGGAGCGCGGCGCGTACCTGTTTATTAGTTACTCCCAAGCTTGGGGTGGGAGCGGGAACGCAGACTGCCCCTGAGAGCGATCTGCCAGGCGGCGGGGACCCGGGGGGCTCGGCGCGACACCCCCTTCCCCGGATCAGAGGCCAGTCCCTGCCGCAGAAATTCCCCGAGAAATCGCGGCTTCCCCGCCCGTCCCGCCGCCGCCGCCGGTCCGCGATCCGTTGTTAGAAGTGCAGCAGGGCGCGGAACGTTTTTGGCAAGGGCTGGCGAAAGAAGCCAGAGACGCAGAAACTGCGGCTCAAGAAAACACGCCCGCCATGCCGCCTCCCTACCCCCTTGAAAATGGCGCCGATCGCCGTGGGGAGGGGCGGGGCGCGGGTAATCTCGGCGCGAAAACTCGGGAACCGCACGATTTCGGGAATGCGCGTCCGCAGGAGAAAGAGGCGGAGAGCGGCAGAGAGCACGGAGCCAATCGGCAGCCGCGCTGGGTGCCGCCACCATATAAGGAAGAAACCACCCCCCGCGGGAGGCGTGGCGAGCCCGGGGGGCGGGAGCGGCGCCACCCCCGCAGGGAGGAGCGAGCTCGGAGCCGGACAAAAAGGCACTGAGCCCCGGAAATACGCTGGCACTCGACTTCCGGCTCGGAGTCCAGCAGCAGCTCCGCCAGCTCGGAAGAGCTGACGGAGGCTAGCGATGGCTCCGATACAGACGAAACGGAACCGGCACGGCTTGAAACAAAGCCGAGTAAAGCTCTAAGCCGCGCCGAAAAACAACTACAATACGAACCAGCCCAGTTTACCGACTGGGGGAAAATAAAAATAGCCTGTGCTGAATGGTCCCCAGCGGCTGCCATACAAGCTTTCCCGGTGAGGCTCACCAGCCCGGAGGGGAACCAACAAAGGGTATATACCCCGATAAACCCAAAGGACATACAGTCAATTGTCAAAGCCATTGCGGAAAAAGGAATCAATTCGGCCATAGTCTCCACTTTAATCGATGGTCTTTTTAGTAATGACGACCTGCTTCCCTTTGATATTGAACGAATAGGGCGCATGATACTTGATGGTGCAGGAATGATTGTGTTCAGACAGGAATGGGATGATAGTTGTAGGAAGCAATTAGCCCAAGCGTCTGGCGCGAGGCAGCCACTACACAGATCGAGCTTATCCAGACTGATAGGAAAGCATGATGATATGATCACGCCGCAGAAACAAGCCACGCAGATGCAGGCTGAGGAGGTCAGGGCGACCACTCGGGCGGCCAGGGAGGCTATTCGCGCAGCCTCTTGAGTCGTGGCTAAGCCGGCGCCGTGGTCCACCGTGAGGTAGGCAGAGAGTGAAAGCTTCACGCAGTTTGTGGATCGCCTGCAGGCAGCGATAGACTCCTCTACCCTGCCGGCAGAGGCAAAGGGCCCTGTGGTAGCTGACTGCCTGCGCCAGCAGTGCAAATCTGTCACCAAGGACATCTTACGCTCCCTGCCAGCCGGAGCTAGCCTGGCTGACATGATCAGACATGTAGTGAGGGAAGAACACCTGACGCCTATTCAGGCAGCTGTCCACACCCTGACCAGTGCCATGGCATGCTTCAAGTGCAGTGAGGCAGGTCACATCGCGGTGAGCTGCCCACAGCCAGCACGGCGGCCCGCCGCGGCGCCTCCACCCCAAACACGCCCACGGGGATCCTGCTGGGGCTGCGGGAGGAAAGGGCATCTCATTAAGGAATGCAGGTCCCGGCCCCAGGGAAACGGGAAAGGGAGGGGGCCTGCGGGCCGCACTCAGCCTCCTCCCGCTGCAAATATGAGGCGGCCCATATATGCCAACCCCCAGTGGGGCGGGGAGCCCTCATACCCCATACCACCACAGGAAGCAGCCAACTTCATACCCCCACCAGCGAGTCTCGCGACACAGCCTACGGCACCTTCGTACCCACCGCCACCGCAAGCAGCGCCTGTGCCGCAGGGTCAGCAGGGGGCGCCCCAGAACGGGACCCCTGGGTGGCCCTGGCCCTGAAAATAGGGAAGGACCCCCGAGGGTGTGGGGGACATGTCGCCTCTATGGCAGTCGGGACCCCCACGTAATAGGGCTTCAGTTTTGGGCAGACACAGGAGCAGACTGCTCAATCCTGCCCCAAGCCCTGTGGCCCCGACACTGGCAATGCAAGGAAGTCCCCCCAGTGAACAGAGTGGGAGGGCCATCCCGAGCTTGGAAAAGCACCCTGACCAGTGCCACGGCGTGCTTCAATTGTGGTGAGGCAGGTCGCATCGCGGTGAGCTGCCCCCAGCTGGCACGGCAGCCCGCCGCGGCGCCTCCACCCCAAACACGCCCGAGGGGATCCTGTTAAAGCTGCAGGAGGAAAGGGCCACTGCCACACACCCACTGCTGCCAATAAAACTGACCTTCAGAACGAAACTAATGGAAAAGCTGTGAGTTTTGTTTGCAGGACATGCTTGTGAACTGTCCCGGTGACGCATACACCCCTGCTCCAGAGGGATATGACGGACCACCAAACCGCCAGACAAAACCCGAGAATCCCATGGCGGTGAGACCCAGACATGCACAGTGTCTCTGTGCGATTTTGCTGTTGGGGCTTGTGGCCGGGGGACAAGCCGACCCAGGCCACTACCCTCATCAGCCATTTAGGTGGGTCATGCAACATCTTTCAAGTAACAAGGTGTTCAAAGAGGTCACCACAGCAAACACCCCATCCTTTGTGTTCCACATAGCCAACCTGTTTAGAAGCTACCTTTCTAACGCTAAGCGAAACCAAACCGAACCTGACTAACTCCTGTTGGCTTTGCTATGATGTTAAACCCCCTTTCTACGAAGGCATTGCTTTAGACACCCCCTTCAGTTACTCCACAGCCAGTGCCCCCCACCAGTGCAGATGGGACACTCCCCGCAGAGGAATCACCCTGAGTCAAATCACAGGATAGGGCAGATGTTTTGGATATGCAACCTTAGCAAAGCAGAAAGGCAACTTCTGCACTAAAGTTGTCAAGCCCAACAGAAAAACTAACAAGTGAGTGATCCCATCTGTATCTGGGATGTGGGTTTGCCAAAGATCCGGAGTGAGTCCTTGTGTGTTCCTTGCCAAATTTAATGACTCTATCGATTTCTGTGTCCAAGTTCTGATTGTCCCTAGGGTCCTGTACCACTCAGACAAAGAGATATACCACCTTCTCAAGGAACCTGACAGACTACACAAAAGAGAAATTATCACAGGTATAACCATCGCAATGCTGCTTGGCCTGGGAGCAGCTGGCACAGCCACGGGTGTCTCAGCCATCGCAACCCAGCAGCACGGACTCTCTCAGCTGCAAATGACCATCGACGAGGACCTGCAGAGGATTGAGAAATCCATCTCCTATCTAGAGAAATCAGTCTCTTCGCTTTCAGAAGTAGTTTTACAGAATAGGCGAGGACTGGACCTCTTGTTCATGCAACAAGGAGGACTGTGTGCAGCCCTGAAAGAGGAGTGCTGCTTTTATGCAGATCATAAGGGAGTTGTTAAAGACTCCATGGCAGAGCTCCGAGATAGACTGGCTCAGAGAAAGAGAGACAGGGAAACCCAACAGAGCTGGTTTGAATCCTGGTTTAATCGATCACCTTGGCTCACCACTTTAATTTCCGCCCTGGTAAGTCCACTGGCAATACTGCTTTTAGCTGTTACCATAGGATCATGCCTGTTGAACAAACTAGTCTCGTTTGTTCAGGCCCGTCTAGAAAGGGCAAACATTTTGTTCATAGGCCACCAACAAATGCTGTAAACCAAAAACTGCGAACACAGTCAGTCGCAAAAGCCTTCAAGACTTGCCTTGAAAAAATTACTCAGGTTTACCAAACCACCCTTTCCTTACCAAGTTACAAGTTTGTACCTCACTCCAGTGCCTATATCTACGACTACCTCATTTTATATATGATAAGGGGAGGGGAGATGTAGTAGTAGGGACAGGCGAACGGAAGATCACGGGATGTGACGGAAAGAGAGACCCTTCCCCCTTCTCCCTGCTTCACGTTATCTATTAACCCCAGAGCATGTGACCACACCTAACCCAGTAGTTTTCCATTCCTGACTAACCCCTGAGACCCCACAACCCCCCTCTGACGTAGCAAAGACCCCCAAGACTTTTTAAACCCATGAAATAAGATAATAAAGGCTTTTCGACCGTCCACCAAATTGGTGTCTGCGTCTTTGTCGTTAGCCCGAGTGGTCCGGACAGGCCGGGCCGCCATGCTACTTCTTGG